TATATTTCTAAAATATGTTTAATTTTTAATTATTATAAATATTTTTCCATAGAATGCCAAACTAAATGCAATCTATCCGGTGGAGATCTAGGACAATATGTCGCAAATTTTCGTAAGATACTGAAGACTTTCCCGAGATATTCAAATAGCTTAATCACGGGACCAGATATCGTGGCTTATAGAACAGCGCAGGAACAGAAATATCTTCAAGATTATCTGAATTCGGCAGATGCTGCGCTTTCGGCGATTACATGGCATCCGTAAGTGTTTTATTTAGTCTTACAAATATAATAAATAAATAAAAATTCTATGAGAACAAGATTGCATTAAGTTGATAAAATATATATTTTTTTCTATATGGTTTATAATAAATATATAATATCTAATTTTTGTTAATGTCTTATTACTTTACTTTAATATTATTTTTTTTGTATTTTAATGTTATTTAATTTATTTTAATTTAACTAGTATATATTTTATCAATATTTATTTTTTGATTAAATTTATATATATTTCAGTTTTTTAAATTAAAACATAATGTTTAAAATTGTATGCAATAAATAAAAGTAATAAGAAAAACAAAAGAAAATCAATCAACTATTTCGATAAATTTAATATTATTTAATCGTTACTTACTAACCATAATTATTGGCAATAATTTCAGTGATTTCGCTAGTGTCTCTTTAAACAATGACAGTGTTTCCATGCATTACGATAATATGATTGCTGATAAAAACGAGCTATACAAAATCATCAGTCATACGGCGAGGAAAAAACCGTTATGGATTGGTAAGAATATTATAAAGTTATATATTATAAATAAACTAAGTGTGTGTGTTTGTAAGAGTTTATATAATTATATTTGTATATGTAAATACTTAAATTTTATATTTATATGTTATATTTATCTAATTTTTATGTATCTGTGTCATATTATTATTTAATTGTTTGATATTTAATTTATATGTATGTATTATATTACATAGATTTTTTCATGTGTGTGTGTGCGTGTGAAAAATTTATAGTCTTTATACTTACAAAATTATTTATATGTATAAATAATTATGTGTTGTTATGTAATAGCGGAATCAAAACCCGAAAAGTTTAAACACGAATATTTAGGAGCGCTTATTTGGACGACAAGACTTGGAGATGCTGCAAAACTCGGTGTACAAGTTTTAATGAGACAACCATCAAATTTTTATAAAGCAACTCCTGTAAGTCACTTAATATCATAAATGTATTCGTATATCTATCATATATTATCAAAAACAATTACACAATATCTAGCTATAGTTGATATATATTGTAGTGATTAATACAACATGTAAATTTGATATATCAAAAATTGTATATGAGATGGATTTACGTGTTTAAGATGAGATAATTAAAAAATTATAAGATACATTATTAATACAATATAATTTTTTAATCTCAGGATTATTGGGTATCTTTATTGCACAAGGCTTTAGTAGGACGCCAAGTTTTGGAATTGAAAGTTCATTCAAACAACGATAGTTATGTGCATTTGTACAGCCAATGCACGAAACCTTCTGCGTTGTACGATAAAGGAGCTATTACGATTTTTGGTGTAAATTTGACGCCGAAAGAAGTGACCGCTAATCTAAAAGGCCTCAAAATTGAAACTCTTCACCAATACATTCTGTCGCCAGATTCCAAAACTGGCAACAAATTACTTTCAGAGTAAGTAATATATAATATAAGACACATATACAGCGTGTAAAAAAGCACTTATACACTGTTTCATTTGCAATATTACATGCCAAAAGAAATTTTGCTATAAAATGTTTTATTTAATGTATTAATAATAGACAAGAAAAAGAGAAAATGACTGAATGAATCATTATTTAAAGAAAGTGAGAGAGAGAGAAAGAGAGAAAAAATATATTTTCTAATATTGATATACTTTGTAACAAATTAATTTTTTATTATAATTATTTAAAAAAATAGATCATATAAGTTTCTTCTCCACTTTAGATTTTTTATCAACTGTAGAATGACAAATTTTGAAAAACATTATTTTTCAGGAAAGTCTTGTTAAATAATAAACCACTCGATTTAATAAACGATAAGAAGTTACCTAATCTCAACCCAGAGATCATTATCAAGTCTGATGGTCTTGAATTAAAGCTCTCTTCTGGGAACATAGGTTTCTGGGTTATACCTAATGCAAAGGTAAACTAAAATACTATATTTCGCCTATCAAATTTAAAAATAACTAAAATAATATCAATTTAATAGGTAAAAGCTTGCGTTTATTCTGAGGAGGAAATGGCCGAAAACATTACACAAAAGAGATTATCGAAACGACATAAAAATATCATTCAACAAGACAATCAAGAAAGAAAGATTAATAATAATAATAACATGAAACATTATCAGCATTCAATGCAGGAATCTGAAAGAATAAAGAGAGATGTCGGCAGGAAATTAATCGAGATAGGCCCGAGGATGGACAATGTTTTGAAGAAACGCTTGAGATTTGACAACGTAAGAGATAATATGAACGAGAGGAAGACGAAGCGGAAGGATGATTTTAGAAGAGATGAATTGTTGACACCATTCAATCCAAGGGCCACCGATAGCGACGAGAATAATTTCTACGGCTTCTTCCGACGTAATCCTATCAAAGGATTCCCCGAAAGCGACATTTTTATCACCACTGGAGACTCGTCGGAGCAAAATAGCAAAGATTACGATTATGTTCAAGATGAAAACGATGAGAACGATTCAAAGAATATGCAGCATACAAAAGAATTGACGCAAAAGCATGTAGAAGATAATACATGGATAGAAATGGAAAATGATCACGTACCTAACGAGTTCTTTGAAAATGTCAAGTTCTTTAATACAAGAATCAAAGAAAATCCGAAAAGCTATGGCGATCTGTTGGAAGCAGAATTTTTCCCACAAGAACAACTATCTGACGAGAAAAAGAAAAAACGAGCTATAGAAAAGGGCATGCAAAAGTTGGTTAATTACTACGATTTCAAAGAACAAGAACATGATCGTGATATAAAATACGAAGCACTAGGTCTTGCTTCGAGACGTTCTTCGATGCCATTGAGTCAACTTGTCGAAACCCCAATTTACATCGATCATCAAGCGTCAAATATAAAACCTGAAGAAATCAAACTGAAAGTAGAATCAGGATTAAAAGCTTCGAGTTTCTTTTATCAACCTTCTCAAACTGCCGCTGTAAATTCTAATTATAACAATTACAACACTAAAAATATGAAACACGAGGAAACCAATGTAAATAAAGAAAAACTTTTAGCCGTGAATATATCAAATAAAAGAAATAATATTAATACAGAAACATATAAGTTTTCTCGATCTGCTGATATAAATACGGAATACCCTATTTTTCATAATAGAAGAGCGAAAAGAAGTAATCGGGCGAAGATTCAAAAAATCCTTGCTGAGGAAATGATTAAAGAAAACGAAGAAAATACGAAAGATTGCCATTGCAGAATCATCCGAGCTTCCCAATCGAAGAAGCTTTGTTATTGTCGTGTAAAACGCGATAATCAAATATTTGCAGATTCTTCTTCGGAAATAAAAAGTGTAAACATAGAAAGTGTGCATTCAGGGAGAAATGTTGAAAATTCTATGGCAAAAGAAGAATACGAAAATATTATAACGGGAGAGATACTTCCAAATACTAGTGTCATCGAATCCGATTATGAAGAACGTGATATAACTACAGGAACTATAACCACAGAATCAAGTACGTTGGATTATAGACCAAGCTACGAAACGCAGACGATCGATGTAAATTCGACATCAATAATGGATAATTCTGAAATAAATAATACTTCGGAGCATTATTATAACGTAGACGAATCTAATATCAAGAAGTTTATGGTAAATTCAGAATTTTCTCCAAATAATGGAGAGAATTCAAATAACAATGATATTGTTAACAATGGCATTACAAAAGAAATGTTATTTCGTATCAAATCACCAGACATCCAATCGGAAAACGAGAAAACGACGTATGATCCTTCTCAGATTGTTTCCAAGATGCTTTCGGATAATAAAAGCAATCCGCAAGAACTTATTGCCTCCACGACTGAATGCGCACAGGAAACGACCCGTGAAAAAACGCAAAATCTCATTAACAAGAAGAAAAAAACCGATAGTTATTCAACAGTTACCGAAAATCAGAAAGACAAAAAACGGCGCGACAATAACTATAAAATTAGCTTAAAGTCAACGAATTCTTTCGAAACGGCGCAAAGAATTACCAAAGAGCAGATAACGATGGAAACAATTTTACCTAAACAGATAACAGATACAGCAGTTGATAATTCAGGATCAAACGAGTCAAAAATAAAATCTGAAGATAATATACAACAAAATGTAGAAGATAATCAAAATAAGAATAATCAAGATATTGATGTAAATTCGACATCAATAATGGATAATTCTGAAATAAATAATATTTCGGAGCAACATCATAACATAGACGAATCTAATATTAAGAGATTTATGGTAAATTCAGAATTTTCTCCAAATAATGAAGGAGACTTAAATAACTATGATATTGTTAACAATGACATTACAAAAGAAATGTTATTTCGTACCAAATCACCAGACATCCAATCGGAAAACGAGAAAACGACGTATGATCCTTCTCAGATTGTTTCCAAGATGCTTTCGGATAATAAAAGCAATCCGCAAGAACTTATTGCCTCCACGACTGAATACGCACAGGAAACGACTCGTGAAAAAACGCAAAATCTCATTAACAAGAAGAAAAAAACCGATAGTTATTCAACAGTTACCGAAAATCAGAAAGACAAAAAACGGCGCGACAATAACTATAAAATTAGCTTAAAGTCAACGAATTCTCTCGACACAACGCAAAGAATTGCCGAAGAACAGATGACGACGGAAATAATTTTACCTAAGCAGATAACAGATACAGCAGTTGACAATTCAGGATCGGAGAAGTCAAAAATAAAATCAGAAGATAATATACAACAAAATGTAGAAGATAATCTAAATAAGGATAATCAAGATATTGATGTAAATTCGATATCAATAATGGATAATTCTGAAATAAATAATATTTCGGAGCAACATCATAACATAAACGAATCTAATATCAAGATATTTATGGTAAATTCAGAATTTTCTCCAAATAATGAAGGAGACTTAAATAACTATGATATTGTTAACAATGACATTACAAAAGAAATGTTATTTCGTACCAAATCACCAGACATCCAATCGGAAAACGAGAAAACGACGTATGATCCTTCTCAGATTGTTTCCAAGATGCTTTCGGATAATAAAAGCAATCCGCAAGAACTTATTGCCTCCACGACTGAATGCGCACAGAAAACGACTCGTGAAAAAACGCAAAATCTCATTAACAAGAAGAAAAAAACCGATAGTTATTCAACAGCCACCGAAAATCAAAAAGACAAAGAACGGCGCGACAATAACTATAAAATTAGCTTAAAGTCAACGAATTCTCTCGACACAACGCAAAGAATTGCCGAAGAACAGATGACAACGGAAACAATTTTACCTAAGCAGATAACAGATACAGCAGTTGACAATTCAGGATCGAAGAAGCCAAAAATAAAATCAGAAGATAATATACAACAAAATGTAGAAGATAATCTAAATAAGGATAATCAAGATATTGATGTAAATTCGATATCAATAATGGATAATTCTGAATTAAATAATATTTCGGAGCAACATCATAACATAGACGAATCTAATATTAAGAGATTTATGGTAAATTCAGAATTTTCTCCAAATAATGAAGGAGACTTAAATAACTATGATATTGTTAACAATGACATTACAAAAGAAATGTTATTTCGTACCAAATCACCAGACATCCAATCGGAAAACGAGAAAACGACGTATGATCCTTTTCAGATTGTTTCCAATATGTTCTCGGATAATAAAAGCAATCCGCAAGAACTTATTGCCTCCGCGACTGAATACGCACAGGAAAGGACCCGTGAAAAAACGCAAAATCTTATTAACAAGAAGAAAAAAACCGATAGTTATTCAACAGCCACCGAAAATCAAAAAGACAAAGAACGGCGCGACAATAACTATAAAATTAGCTTAAAGTCAACGAATTCTTTCGAAACGGCGCAAAGAATTGCCAAAGAGCAGATGACAACGGAAACAATTTTATCTAAGCTGATAACAGGTGCAGCAATTGACAATTCAGGATCGAACGAGTCAAAAATAAAATCAGAAGATAATACACAACAAAATGTAGAAGATAATCAAAATAAAGATAATCAAAATATTAAATCCGAAGCTGAGACGCAGTTAAAGAAAAATATCGGCACAAAGAAATTGAAAACTATATTTCGTACAACGCCATTGAGAGGACATGCCAGACGTGAGGAATATTTGAACAAACGCGTCGAGCAGACCAATAAGCTGAAGGAAAAGCTGTACGCAAGACGGAAGAGACTATTGCAACAGTATCGCCATGAATTAATGAAAATTGCCGACGAACAGAAGCGGAATCTGAAAAGAAGAGAAACGTGGGAGAGATTTCGCGAGAACGATGATCTTCGTCATCTGATCGATCAGGGAGAGTTCGTTGGCATTCTGATCGACAACGACATTATTTACAAGGATAATAATAATGAAAAATATGAAATTCCTGTCAAACTTGTTCCCAAACAATATGAAAATATTCCTGATCAAATATATACACTTGCGAAAGTAAAGGAAGAACGTTATCCAAAATATAATAAATATTACCAGTTTCCTCGACACTTGGAAGTAACTGAAGATGATGGAGAATCAACGTTTATATCTTCAGATCGCAAATATAATCAATATTATGAGCATCTTCCAAAAATAATCAAAGACGAACAGGAACTAGCAAAAGCGTCTAGATTTTCGGATCATGAACATAATCAAGATCGTCGATATTTTGAGAAAATGATTGAAGATGGGCGAGAATCAAAAGCAGCTTCTAAATCTTATGGTCGTAGAATCTTTGCAATCGATCCTTCAACGTATCGTGGGGGCGAGCCGATATTACAATTGCACGAAAACCACTCAAAACTTCCGAAGTATTATTCAGAGATTAAATACAAAAATCAAAATCCAGTTCCAAGATGGATCTATCAAGTTCTTTCGAAATCGATACTTAGCGAAGACCAACGTCAAGCTTCCAAGTTACAAGAATACATGAAGAAAACATCGATTAAAAATGATCAAGAAAATGCTGATGTCGATTTCGAATTAAATAATATTTATAGAAATCTTGAAACGGAGCATGATAATTTAGACATGCCTATAGCAGATGAAAGAATAAAATTGACAAAAGATGTGAGAATTGGAAAATATATAGAAAATGAAAAATTTGTCGATTCTCATGATGAAAAAGAAGATATATTAAATATTGAAAAAACTAAAGATACTAAAAATGCTGAAAAATTTATGAGTCCTAAAAATATTGATACGGATAAAGAAGAAATGTTAAATATAAGAAAATTTAAGGATATTACAGAGTCAGAATCTAAAACGGAACATTTGAATGATAAAAGAAAGAATATAACAAAGAATATATATAAAATAGCTAAAAATATTCAAGAAATTAATAATTTAAATGAGAAGATAGAAAATGATATAAATACTAAGATGTCTAAAAATAATGAACCAATCAAAGATGTTGAAAAAATTATTGATAACGATTCTGAATTAAGCAAACTTGGAAATGCAAGAACACGAAGAGATATCAAAAAACAAAGGAGCGATGAATATCTAAAGGGATTGTTATACTTCCTGTAACGTATTTTATTGTTTTATTTATCTTTTATTTATTATTTTATTGAATGAGATCTTTTTCGTATAATATACGTGTATTATATGTGTTTACACAAGTGACAATATTGGAAGTTTATATAATTATAAAGCAATTAATTCTTGAATCATACATTATGCAAAATTACATATTTACTAATTTAATAAAAAAAGATATAAAAATACTTTTAAAATTTCACATCTAGTCTTTAATTTTTTTCTACTTATATGTTTGCGAGTATTAAATGACATACTATTCGTTTCATCTTTAGATTGACAAAAACAAATACACGAGACGGATCAAATTATGACACGTACGATCACTTGAAAGAAGACTCCGAGGAAATATTTAACAAACAACCAATCCCGCTTTATCCGTTTACAAAAAATGATGAATCGCCATTAAACAACGTCCTGTTTCGAAAATCAAAAAATTGCTTGACTTCCTCGGAGAGAGACTTGGAAATCAATCAAGATGAGAAAGATAAATCACCAAACTATATCGTCTTTATACCGACTAAGGACAAGGATTCGTATAAGATGTTAAAAATAAAAGATTATGACGATTCGCTAGAAACTATCGAGATCCCTTATTCCGATGAGAATCAATATTTACTACAAAAAATATCAGATTCAATAATGGGATATTCGGATGATGAATCTTCAGAAGAACTTGTATATGAAGATCTATCGGATCTGCTAAATGAGAGAATTGAAAATATTTCAGATAAAATAATTTATTCATCGGAAAGTGTGCAGGATGTTTCTGTAGATGTCAAAGATAGTGGAATTAACGATGAATCAGAAAAAGAAGACGAACAATATAAAAGCGAAGAGATCAGATATTTAGAAATGAAAAACCAAATGCGATCTGATGAATGTGGAATGGTTTTACTATTTCCCTGGGAAGAAAATGAGAAGAAAATAAGGCAGCGAAGAGAGATCAGAAACAGGATCAATGGAGGCAAAAATCAAATGGAAAGCGAGGTAAATATTCTCTTAACGCAATAACAATCTGTTAAAACTGCGATTGATCTTTTAGATGAGAGAAAAGATATGTTTACATATATAATTATCAGGCAATATAAAAAGTACACTCACTCAGGAGCTAAAAACTATATATATAACTTATATTAATATTATAGTTTATACTACACGAGCTACAAAATAATATTGCTTAGAAATTCGGATAATCAATACTCCTAATGATTATTTCTCGACAATTATGTTATGTGCATTTTTTTGTTATAATATGCAAAGATTAAATTAAGGAGAATAATTTATTTCGATAGATTATATTAATTTGCAAAGTTATTTATTATTATTTTATATTATTTTATGTTAGTAAATTAATTTTCTGTCTATTTCTCTCTTTCTCTTCTCTCTTTTTTTATATTATTAGTATCATTCTATTTTAATATACCACTTTATTTTTTTAAGATACAGTCAAAATCAAACAAGTTTATTTTGACTGAAAATATCAAAGACGAAGATATCAAAAATTCTTTAAATAAAAACAATATTGATAAACAAGAAAAAGAAAAAATAATAACAAAAAAAAGTACAGAAACAGATTATTTAGAAACTCAAATAGACAAAAAATATCGTGACGATCTGCTTGAAGATTTCATAAGAGCTCGTAAGAAGAATTATTTATATAATAATAAAATCCTTTTCATGAAAAACAAAGAAAAGGATAAAAGTTTAAAAAGCAATAATTTAAAGAACGATGAAAAATTACCGTCTTTCACAGAAAAGATAACTCCAAAGTTACAAAATGCTGTTATCGACGGCTTGGAAAACACGCAAAATACCACGGAATCTGTGGAACCATTTATCGATAATTTCCAAGAGAAATACAATGAGACTGTTTTAATATCGGATCAAGAAAAACATTCAAAAAATAAAACTTCCGAAACTATCGGCAACCCTTTTCATATTGCCATTATAAATATAAAAAAAATTATTGCATTTTTATCAGAAATGTCTCAATTTTTTATGTAAATATATATAAATTTTAAGTAATCGCAAATAAAAAAAAAAAGATTCATTTGATATATTGTACGATATAGTATATATGTGTGTGTGTGTATGTGTGCGTGTATCCAAATTCTCTTTAATATATTTATATAGTAAATAAAAAAAATTGATAATACTTTTAAGCAATTTATTATTAAAATATTAAGAAAAATTAACTAATTTTATTTTAATTTAATTAAATATGTATCCAAATTTTTTTTTTGTAATTTTTGAAAAAGAAAAAAGAATTCAATTAAGATAAATATTTTATATGTACAAACTCTATCGTATATATATGTAAGATGTAGCAATAATTACTACAAAAACCTGCACATTTCCAAAAAAATGGATTCTTGCAAACATATAAAATCACTCACCTTTCCTGATGACATATTATCTTTGTCACGCCTTCAACTGCACGTATTTATAATTTTCCTTTCGTTTGAAACATTGCGCCGTTTAAAAGTTATAGTATAATTACAAAAAAACTGCTTTTTTATTGCAAATTTAACAACACAAACAAATGGGGAATCACTAAAAATAATAACTATAAACAATTTTAAAAAATGATATAAGCAGGTTTAAAATATCTTTAAAATTGTCAAAGTTACATTTTTTTATTGCAAATGTACTATAATAATTTTTAGTAAAAGTACAAACGAAAGAAAAATCATTGCACAACTATTACAAATAATTCTTGTATCAAGATGTATCATATGTATATGATAATTTTTATTTTTAAATCGGATAAACCATTTTTTAAAGACGTTGTATTTTTATGGCTTTGATTATTTTTTTTATAGCAAACAAAATTATTCTTACTTTAAATAACTACAAAGTACTAACATTTTCTGATAAAGTGAGTTGAGAAATTATTTTATTAAAATGGAAGCTACTAAGTTTATGTGTGTATATATATCATATAAATATTAACTCTTATACATATATGTGATTTATCTCTTTCTATATTTTTAAAATTAATATCATATTATAATGATAGCAATTTTATTTTTAATACTTATCTAACAAATCACGAAAGTGTAGTCAGGATAATAAATTAAAATGCTTAAATAATACGGAATTAATGCGAATAAACATGTCATTAATCCTCTCTGCCAATTCCTCTCTAAAAGCTCATGCAATCGAAATAAATATTTCATGTAAATATTATTTATTTTTATTTTAAAATATTTTTCTTTTTATTTAATACGCAAAAAGATTTTGTCTTGGGTCAAAATTAAATCAAAGTCTACTGTATGCTCGATTTTCACACCGTCCGATATATGAGAGGGAGGGGGGGGGAGAGAGGATTAATCACGCGAATAAAATAAATTTACTCACCAGTCATTGCGCGATGTCACCTGTCAATAAAATGCTGTCATTCTGCCAACTCCTTTGTGTCGATGGCGAATTCATCCGGTTTTCACAAGGCACACACTCGCGAAAATTTAATTTCAAAAAGTTCGATATCAGTTATTAAACGGCAAACGTTGAGTATTTGAATCGGCACTCCCGATGCGATCTCTATTTATACACGACGTTTATACGCGATCTCTGTTTTTACGTAATTTTCCGACGTTTATCGCTCGCGAACTTCCTGCAACATAGATATTACGCGAATTTTTAGAACAACGCCCGACAATAATTAGAAATTGATAATTATTACCATATATTTCCATTAATACAGGTTTAAACAATGCGGATTTTTTTCGACGATAGCGTCACACGTTTGCACTACTGCACTGACGTTTGTAACGGACTCTTGCCGCGCGGCAAAAAGCGACGCTAGGCGATTGCTAGGTAACTTTCCAGAAAGCGCCAACTTCATTGGCTATCGATCGGCACGTGTTCCCGCGTCCTGCCTACACGTGCGTTATTTCCGCGTAAATCGCCCGATATTTTCCTCGACACTCCCGACATTTTTCTCGACACTGGCAATACTTTTCTCATCATCTCCCATATCTTAAATATTATGCGAATTAAATATGATTGTTTTACGACGTGAAACATTTTGAACGCTAAGTTTCTATTTAATAAACGCGACATTAATGCAAAAGACAAATGTATGAAAATAACACGTATACGTTTACGTACATGATTATAAATGTAACATTAATGTATATTGACTATGTATATTGATTATAAATTGTGAATATAATAATTTTTATCACTAGTTATTAACACACGCGTTATATCCCAGCAAACACAAAGTACAGTAACATAACATTAATGTCATAATTTCCCACTCCACAATGTAACTGTTACGTACAAGGCATGTTATATTGCAGTTACATAACATTGATGTTATGTTACTGTTACTTTGTGTTTGCTGGGATAATATTTATTAGAAAATTGAGATTATTAATAATTTACATGAATAATGCGTTCGTAAACGACACAAGTGAAAGCAACGGAAAGTAAATCTCCGGACTAGCCCTCGCGAGAGTCAAAATGATACTAACAAGAAACGAGAAACTATGAAAAATGGCGAGGTCGCGAGGCAAGTGAAGAAAGGGGTGAGGAGAACATTCTCGGGACCGAGGGCTTGTTTACATTCCTCAATAGCGCGGAATGTAAACATAAGCGTCTACTTGTTGCCCATTTATAGAAATACAACGAAGTAAGAAATAATATTGAAAACGTTTTGCGAATAAGATAATCGTGCACGCGATTTGATATTTAAAATGATAAAAGCCCACAAAGAAAGGAACGATCTGAAATGTTTATACAGTAATCTTTATATAGTACTACCTTTTTGAGTCAGATTTTTGTCTAGCAATAAAAACTAAATTATTATACTTTGAATATGATAAATCCTAAAATTACATATTCCATGCAAAGTATTGTGAATTGTCATGACAATTTTCATTTGAAGATTATTAGTCGTTATTTTTTATATAATTATGTAAATTGATGTGATATTAATATTTATCTAAAATATTGCGTATCTAAAATACGCTCTCTCACTCTCTCTTTCTCTATACAAAATTCTCAGCATTGCTGTAAACGATTAATAATTAAAGTTTTAAGCAGACATGTATAAATTAAAATAAAACGCAAGTTTAAAAAGAATTAACAATTATAGTCACCACACATACTTACAATTTTGATGCTCTTACAGATGTTCAAGAATACGTTTTCTATTTAGTATTCCAAATAAAAATTAAATACAATAAAGATCAATTCTATTAAAATTGTTTTAAGCATAAGTGCAAATGTGTATCTTTGTATTACAATTGTGCATAACAATTAAAAATATTTATATCTATAGAATATCACGAAGAATATTATAACCGCAGGTAAAAAATGAGGTCACTAATGAATTGAATCAAAACCTGTTCACACATATACATATACGATTACGACATAATGGACGAGCTAAATTTCATAACAATGCAATGACAAGAGATATATGTAACGAATGAATCGCCAAAAAGATTTAGTGCACTTTTAATCACGATCGAATTCAGTTCGTCTTTGGAGACATCAGAACAAAGTATATAAATTTCGCCATAACATATTTATTATAATTAAAATTTTTCCAACATGTAATATTTAATTTTGTATTTTAAAATTAAAATTAGAATTAATTCATTAATTATTTTTTGTGTATAAAGTAAAAGTGATTTTGTGTCCAAAGAAGTATAATAATATCAAGTAGTGGTTAACAGTGAATGTAATCAATATGTATAAGAAAATTACTTCGATCGTATTGATGTTACTTGTGATTGTCCGTTCGGAGGAAATTTCTGCCAAGAATGTGACACAAGCAAATTTCTTAAATTTAAGGTAATTAAAAACTTTTATTTGATGAATAAATTTAAAATTTTAGTTAGATTAGATAGAAGTTTTAGATTCATATAATCCATTAATAAATTAAAATTCTAAATAAGAAAAGATTTTATTCTGAATATAATTAAAATTAAAATTCTATAAATTATGCAAAAAATCTGATTCTATCAAATAGATTTTAATAAAAAATATTCCCTCCCTTTTTTATAATATAAATTAATTGAAAAACAGAAATATCAATATTTGAGTACTTTTTCAATTTAAATTTGATTTGATTTGAATTTGATTTTTGGAATTTTATTCAACTTTAAATAGCCTAATGCGAATTGCAAATATAAAAGTATGTTAATCTTAATTGCTTAATTGTTTATGTCAGCACAATCATTTATATCATTTACACAACAAACTGCTGAATTTTGCAAGAAGTTTAAAAACTGCAGAATTTTGAAGTTACCAGATTATCAATTACATGATAATGTCTAGAATATGGATGATTTAAAAATAGAATACAAATATAATATGTCCGTGATATAAAAATTATACGATTTCGTATATTAAAAATGTTATTTAGATCAATTTAATTTTATTCAAATAAATTTAAATTGACAGATTAAATTAATTTTTAACGTACTTAATTGCCAAATTATATACGTTTAAAATATTTAATTTATTAATCGAATTAGCAAGCGTTTTGTGACTAAATATTAATTACTTTTAGATTATCGACAATTCTGCCGTACTTATTGCACAATGACCAAAATCATACGAAGGATAATGCAAAGAGATCGCTCTTTCTATTAATGCCACCATCACAGACACGAGATGCAAACTCAAAAGAAATAGTTCAAAAAACAAAACGTTGCGGAACATTGCCTCGGAAAAACAGATTTTTCTTATTATCGAGAAAGGAAAACAGTACCAGAGCAGAAATGAATGCAAGAAGCCTTGATAGAAATATCAAAATCCCCAGACAAAATTCAAATGCCGATACTTCTATAAAAAACATAAAATACTTGCAAGAAAGCCCTGTAAACAGGATAAAAACTGAAACACATAAAGATAATACATTTTTACGAGCCCTCAGGAATAACATGAATGCAGAAAATGTAATTTTGAATTTAAAATCTCGAGGAAAGACAAAGAAATGTAATACAGAAAATTGTATTTGTTACTGTAAAGATGAGAACTGTTTTTCTAAATCATCAATGACAAGTTCATCGGAAATATTAAGCTCTTCCAGAAAAGATAAGTCTGAAAAGATAGAAGATCATCAAAGACCAGCGAAACATGAAAACACAAAATCAAATATTTTACAGCAAATATCACCAAAATTGTATCATAAAAATCTTCAAGAATTACGCATACCTAGTCTAATCAATTCTTTTCCAACACGATATTACCAAGAAAGAATACGTGATATCCCTCATGCGTCAATTCTGTACGGAAAGAAACCACATATTTTGCCTTACATAGTCGGAAATGATAAAAATTTTCTTAATATTGGAGTTCCATTTACTTCATTTGAGAATAGACCAAATTTTCCACTTAAAAGTAAAGCCGACAATCAATATGAACCGATTATCCATCAAAACTTATATCCCTGTTCACATATAGTTGAAGAAAGTCGAGTTGGAAGTCCTATGTCAACTACTTCAGCTTCGACAAGCTATGTTGGTGCAACAACTAGTACACAAACAGAAAGTGATCTTAAATCGATTGAAATCACTGAAAAAGATGAAAAACATTTTTTCAAATTAACTACAGAAGCTCCGAATAATTATGTAGATAAGTCAATTAATTCAGAAACGGAAACTAATTTTTATCCAAACTATTCAAATGATGTAACTGAAAAAAGCAGTACTGTAGATTTTTCTTCTACAGAACGAATCAAAGGAAATCAAGAAGACGAATTTTCTAAGTTAATGCCATTTTTTACAAATTATGTTGATAGAAGCAGAACACCATCCATCATCTATCCATCAATCCTGCATAATGACATATTGATAAACATGGAAGAGTGTATAAAGTTATTCGGTCGCGACGTGTGCGTACTCAGTGCGACGTCACCAGGAATACTTGCAAAACAGACACAAGAGAACAATATGAATGAATATTCTACGATTAAAATCCCGGAATATATCGTACAAATGTCCAAAAATAAAGAAGGAACAACGTTAAATAATGCCAATTATTCGGATAAACTTGAAACAATCAATACGTATGTACAATCGAATGTTGATTCCAATGAGCATCTCGAATCAACAAATACAGAATTAAATGTTGATACCGATAAAAATTCTCCACAAGAATCATATCGATACGAAGGATCTATCGAAGAAACTTATGAACCAGATGATAACTATGATGAGAATAAATCATTTAACATTAAAGAAAATGCACGTATCTCAATAAACAAATTGATGGACCAGGTAACTGATAAGACCATGGAGACTGCAAGAAATACACTGTTAGGAAAGAGTAAGAGTCATACAATTGAGCCATTGTCAAATCCAAATAACAAGGAAACGGCAAATCCCACTTCAAGTGAGAAATATCTCTATTCTACTAATTCATACGAATATAGTAACGATCAACAAGAAACGAATAATTTAAAGGTTGATCAACAAACTTTAATAACAGATATAAATGTTAATTCATGGAGTACTCTTGGAGTATTGTGGAATACTCTTCCTAAAGACGAGAAATATCTCTATTCTACTAATTCATACTATAGTAACGAATATAGTAACGATCAACAAGAAACGAATAATTTAAAGGTTGATCAACAAACTTTAATAACAGATATAAATGTTAATTCATGGAGTACTCTTGGAGTATTGTGGAATACTCTTCCTAAAGAAGAGACTACAACTATTAGTTATGATTTTAAAACTGAATATAATTTTGAAGAGAAAAATAGAAATTATTTGGAAGAATCAAATATTAATATTTATCCTGAAGGAGAAATTTCTCAAGAACAACTTAAAGAAGAGGATACAACTGTTAATCGTGATAATTCGAAAATCGGATATAATTTTAAAGAGGAAGTTACAAATAAATTGAATGAATCAGAAATCGATACTTCTCGTGAGAAAGAAATTCTTCAAAGACAATCTGAAGAAATTACAACTATCAGTTATGATTCTACAGCAATGTATAATTTTGAAGAAGAAAGTACGTATGATTTGAAAAAATTAAATACTGATTTTGATCTTGAAAAAGAAATACTTCAAGAACAGCTTGAAGACGAAATTATACCTGTCAGTTCTGATTCTTACACCGAATATAATTTTGAAGAAACCACTGAAAATAATTTATTAGGTATAAAAACCAGAGATGAAATTCTTGGAGAACAACCTGTAATGCAATATCTTGATCTTGATGAAAAAACAAATTATTTAAACAATAAAGAAGATACCACCAATAATCCCGAAACAATCATCGATTCATCATCAAGAAACCATACCATACCATACTATGACGATACTTTACTTTTAAATTCCATCAGAAAGGTCATCAACGACTTCGCATCGAACGTTTCCTTAAGCAAAACAAAAAATCTTGACGAAAATATTCTTCAGATACAAGGTAGAAGTTTGCTGCCAGAAATTTTACAAGTTCCGAATCTCGAGAGTATTCTGTCAATTCCGCAAATAGAAAACACGATCGTAGAAAAGGTGAAAGATATTCTATCCGATATCACAGTTATTTCCCAAAAGAACTTCACAAACGATTGGTCACATGATGTGATAAAAAACTCTTTCCGTAGCATATTGCAGACTCTTTCCACAGATTTTCACCGAAACCTCCCACCGATGACGGTTGAGGAGCATCAATTCAAGGACGGACAATGGTCAATCAATTCGATAACTTTAGCGCCTGTTCCAGACAGCGAATTATCAATAGCAAATCCGGAAAACTTGGAGAAAAGCATCAGAAATCTTTTAAACTTTTCAGTAATCGCGTCGCAAGCAGATCAGTACATTATACGAAACATGATCGTGCAGAGTGTGAAAAATAGTTTGACCAAAGACGAACATGAGGAAATAGATAATTCGATAATTCATATGCTAAATAATATTCTTCAGACATTAAAAGATTCAACAGATACGGACATGTTAAAAAAAAATAACAGCTTTGATAATAATAAAAAAGATGTGAATTTGACTCTTTCGCAAGAAGTATCAGCAGGCAATTACGAAGAAGGAATAAATGTTGGCAATTCAATATTAATTGATAAACAGAATCTTGACATAGAAAGAGACAATGAGAAAACACAGTTGACGAGTTATCAGGAATCCAAGGGATTAGAAAATAACGCTAGCATGATTATTTCTAATCTTTCAAATTCAACAGAATACAAGAAAGACAAAAGCACGCACATTGAAAAAAAAACACCAAGGAAAACTGATATACTTATGCGTAGAATAGGAAAAAAATTCAGAAATCAAATGAAAAGGATACAGAAGATAGATATGCAAGATAATGAAGTAAAAAAACTAGCTGAACCGTTAAAAAATACAGTGACATATAATAAAGCTATTTCACAAAATAATCTCAGCATATCAGAAATTTCTATAGAACCAATAGAAACAGAGGAGTTAAATAAAACAGAAAAAAATATATTCTCAGAGGCAACAACAATTTCATCGATTATGACTAAAAATTTTGATGAAACAGAAGAAGATATCGTTACTTTAACGCCGGTAATAAAGAATATTAATGAGAATGATGACAATAATAAATCATCGATAAATTATTCTTCACTGGATGATCAAATTTTGAAATATATAAAAAATGATCGTATCAATAATGAAAGTGTTCAAGTTACAACAATACCCACAAATTTTGTACAAAAAACTTCACCCAATTACGCACAGATATCGAATGGCATAATTTCAGAAAACATGGAAGAAGTTAAAGATTTCGGAAATGAAACTGAATATATCTTAAATAGAAATATATTGACTAAGTCACCTGATAATTTAATTTCATCTACAAATTTAAAATATCGAAATGAGAAGTCGGAAATCGCATCTTCAACTGATGAAATTGATCCAGCAATAATATTAGAGAGGATTGAGCATAATTTATCGCCAATAAAATATTATTCGCCGGAAATTTTAAAATACATAAAAAGTCATCATAATGCTGATGCAAGTGTTGAAGTAACGACAACATTCACAAGTTTTATGCAAGAAATTTCACCCGATTATGCACAACAAATATCGGATGATCTAATTTCACAAAACATAGCAAGTGCTAAGGATGATGGAGAGGAAATAGAATGCATATTAAATGATAAAACGTCGACTATTTCAGCTGATAATGTAATTTCATCTCTAAATGTAGACGACGGAAATTATAAATCCAAAATTACTTCTTCGATAGATACAAATATTTTAGATTCGCAGCAGCAGAATTTTATGGCAAAAGGCAACATTATTGCCAAAATCCACGAAGCTACTACAGAAGTTCAACGAACCTACGCAAAAACTACTTACTTTAAGGTGAACCCTTCTGTTGACGATAGTTCAAGGCTCAGTTCGTTTTCATCGGATTATAAAGCTGATGCAAATAATAATGATAATAAGAATAAAAATAGCAATAACAACGACAGTCTAATTGGCAACAAATATAATGCTGATGATATTACTACAGAAACAAATAAAGTAACTATTCCATTCTCCAAATCATGTTGTTTAGGCGATATTTATCCTCTTCAGCTATTTCCCTTATTAATTGCTTCCGATAATTCGGAATTTGAGAAATCGCAGCTTTACTATATTAACGACGGCATGAAATTGCCATTGGAAATCAGAAAATTAAAAGACGGTTTTTATGAGTTGTCGATCGCCAAGAACATATGCGAGCAGATTCTGGAAAGAAAATGTTCCTGCTGTGTGCCACTGCAAGGACATGTGATTTTATCATGTAACAAAAATCAAGATCAAAAAGATATACATATAATGACTTCAAGTCAAGAGAATATGTATGTGAAAAATGTTAAAAAAAATTATTATTCGACTGAATCGCCTAACATAATGATAACTGTAATGACTACGGGAAAAGATACCTTGAAAATGCAAAACTCAGAAGAAGAAGAAGAATTAATAAAGTCAGTTAGAAAATTTGAATATGATCAATTAGAAAAGAAAAATCTCAATGATAATTTTGAAACAAAGAAAAATGAATTTGTGAGTGAAAATAAAGATGCAACCGATAAATTACAAAATTTGGTAAACTTTCGAGAGAGAAAAGATACTATGAGCACGAGTTTCTCAAGATCTCCAATTTTCCGAGATTTGTACACATTGGGGAATTCAATAGTTAAATCATGGAAGAAAAATGCAAAAGCAAATCAATTTGAAATAACTGAAGACTTGCATAAAATGGAAACTGAAAAAAACATTCAAAATATAAACACTGAGGAAAAAATAAATTCTAAAAATCAAAAAAGAAATTCCGTTTTTAAAAGAATTAATATTTCCAAAGAAGACACCGAGATAAAGAATGAAGAAATGAAATCGGATAAATACCGAATAGCGGATATCGAAAAAGGTAATCATCATATAAATCCTAATAATAGAATAAAAATGTGAGAAAAATGCAAATAAAAAATTTTATTTTAGAAGATGTTAAAGTTTTCAAAAAGAAAAGAGAAAAGAGGCCTCAGCAAACTATAGAATCTAAAAATCAAGAGAGAATTCCTATTTCGAGAATTATTATTTCCGAAAATAAAGTCAACATGAAGAGCGAAGAAACAAATTGGGATAAATTAACAGATATTGAAGAAGGTAATAATTACTTAAATGCTGATAAGTAAATAGAATATGAAAAGATTGAATAATTCTGTTTTTAGGAAACGTTTTCCATAAGAAGGAAAAACAGGAGCGTAAAGTGTATATAATTGACGATAAGCAGAATGGTTCAAGATTTAAAAATTCTGAAGAAGACAGTAAAAAACCATATAGATATCAGCGAAATATAAATGGCATCGTAAATAAAAGAGCAGAAATAGTAAAATCTATGCTTTATTGGCTTAAAGGTCTTTTCTCAGATAAATAAAACACAAGAAATGGATTAATAGCTTTGAAAATCTCTCTTTTTTTTAAATAAAATGTTTTCTTCAAAAATTTGCTTTAAAAAAATGAAATTTTTTTCAAGTTTCTTAAATTTTCTTTTAAAATTCTTAAATTTGCTTTTTCAAAAAATTAAATTTTCTCTAAAGTATTTTTAAAATTTTTTAAAAGTTAAATTTCTATTATTTTCATAGGGAGAGATCTATTTCTTTGTAAAATACTCGTAATATCAAGAACAATATATTAAAGTACAAAGATTTTTTATGAGATTTCAAACTTTGTTATTTCAAATTTTTTATATTAACTACATATCTCTCGTGATTATATTATAATTACAAAATGAGAGAGAGAGAGAGAGAGAGAGAGAGAGAGATAAAATTAAATTCAGACAGTTCCACATAATTTAATAATTCAATAACTTATAATTTAATACAATATATATATACAATTTTATATTGTGTGTGAATTTACTTCTCAAATATTTTTCTTTTCCTGTGCCTATAAATTTTATTGCCTACAGATTTTTACAAATTTGATTTAAGATTTTTTTACAAAAACAAATTAATATTAATTTGTCATATTAAATATTATATTAAATTACTATAATATAACATTAAACATGTAAAACTTATAGCATTTAAAAAAAAATCTTCTCTTGATAGATTTGGTTATTTAAATGATATTGGAATTTTTTAGAACAGAATTGATTCCGCTTATTAAAGACACAAGATATTATAATCATTATTATTATTAAAAATTATTACATAATCTTTCTTCTCTAACTCATTTTTATAATCACACATTATTACACATACACTGCTGTCGTCTAAATTTATCAAAAAATTAATTGTATATAAATATATAAATAATATATTATATAAGGAAATGTTTGTAGCATTTTTTTACTTAGCTTTTTCTTTTCAATCCTTCGAAGAGAATCTTACTTTTTAAGTATAAAAATAAATTGTGAGGAAGTCCGATTTTAACATTTTGGGTATTATTAGAAAGGCGCTGATCGATAACGCTTCGCCGCTATCGAAACGCGCGATAACGTTCGGCTTTTCAGATTAACAATAATTTAAACAGAGTCGAAGACGCTTTATATCCTACAAAATTATTTTTTTTTATCAATTAAGATAATTTAGAACGATGTAATCTATTACTCTGATAACTCGTGTGCCCTCCGACATACATAACTGTCAGTACTATCGGCAGTATCGAAAAATCATTTATATATAGGCACACGTTCATTCAACTATATGATACTACTACTAGTTCAGTAGTATTGTGTGGGCGGAACGCACACATAAAACGGAGCATCGACATAACCTTGAAGAATTTAAATTAATGAAGGATGGTGAGGTTATGTTGATTAGGAACTGAATGCTTTGACGTTTCTATCTACGCGATTGGAACATGGGTTTATTTGGAAAATCGCAAGAAAAGAATCCCAAAGAAATGGTGAGGCTCTAATAAATGTAGTTGGACTTGTTAACATCTATCATTTTGCAGGTTCAAGAATGGACTCACAAATTAAGAAAGGAAGGTTATCAGCTTGACAGGCAGGTTAGAGGTGAGATTGAAAAGAAAAATTTCCACGAAAAATCTTTAAGATATTGAAAAAATTAAAATTTATTTTTATTTAATCAACAAGAATCTTAATCTTTATCTTAAATTCCTGATCTTGTGGTTTTGATTTTAATCTTAGAAAAAAAGAGTTTAGAAAATCTAAAAGATTTTAGGAGATATTCTTAAAGTTTAAAATATTTAAAATCTTTAACACAGTTATTTATTTGGAATTAAATCAAGTATCCTCTTTATTTTTTTTTTTTTTTACATTTACTTTAAATATTGTTTATATAATCAATGTTTTTTTTTTTAACAGCAATTCAGAGAGAAGAGGAAAAAGTAAAACGTTCCCTAAAGGAAGCAGCGAAGAAAGGAGATAAAGATGTATGCAAGATCCTTGCAAAGGAGATTATAAGGGCTCGTAAAGCCTATAACAAAATTTATACTTCCAAGGCACACCTAAATTCTGTATCATTACAAATGAAAAATCAATTGGCAACAATTAGAGTTGCTGGTTCAGTTTCAAAGTCTACAGAAGTGATGCAAGCAATGCAATCTTTGATTAGAGTACCAGAAGTAGCTGCGACCATGAGAGAAATGTCAAAGGAAATGATGAAAGCAGGAATTATTGAGGAGATGTTGGATGAAACGATGGATTCTATCGAGGATTCTGAAGAAATGGAGGATGAAGCTGATGAGGAGGTTGATAAGGTAAATCGTATTTTTGTTTCTTTTTATATTGTATTTCATACTTACGGATCAAATTATGGATATTCAAGAAAATTCAAGTGAATAATTTCTTAAACATTTTTCATTATAAAGAGAGGTCTGTATAAATATTAAATATAAATAAAATTTCTACTTACAGATTTTATGGGAGGTAACAGCTGGTCAGTTGGGTACAGCTCCTGCAGTTGTCACAGAGAATCCTGAATCAATCGCAGCCTCTGCATCTGCAGAAGAAGAAGTAGAAGATGATGACAAAGAACTTGAAGAGATGAAAAATAGATTACAGAGCCTTCGCAGTTAGATGCACAATTAAATAATTGAAATTTATTTGCACTAAATGTCAGGGAAAAATAAGTATCATAATGATAACAATTACTAAATAAATAGTAACAGATTATATACATAGCATTTGCTATAAAAACAATATTTATCATAATGTATTGTTTTGCTATTTATATGTAAATATTGTATGTACTATCGCTTTGTAGAGTACTTAAACGCATATATCTATTTTTACATTCATCACTAAATAATAATTTTTTTTATAATTCCAATTCGAATTATTATTAAAATTAAGAAAGATTATGTAAAGCAAATTAAACAAAGACATAATGATAATCAAATTTTTTTTTTGAATTATCAAATTAATTATGAAAAGATTATAGAGATGATTGGCAATTCAAGAATTTAAATAACTTTTAGCTGTTGCACTTGGTTATAACATTCACACAAAATTATACTTATAAATATAATAAAAAGGTTTATTTTGTATGGCTGTGCCATTTTTGTTTTGTACTTTCCATTTTGTAATTTATTCTATATAGCAGCATCTAGTATTCAACTATTTTTGTAAATTTCCAAATTCGATTTTTGAAAGAGAAAGGGGGAAAAGATATAGAATTGTAACAAACTATCAATATATTATTGGTAATTATTAATTGCTATTTAATTATTTAAACAGTTTTCAATAGAGTATTTTAATAAATAGTATTAAAAGAGAAATATATTTTATGTTGAAGAATGTTGTTAACGCAAATAAATAAATTGTAAAATAATGTCAGTATTATTATTATTATTATTAAGAATACTAATATTATTATATAATACTAATTATAATATTGTACCAATAATATTGATAATATTGCTAATAATATATCTCAATATATTATAGGTTATATGTATTATATGAATATTTTTATCGTTAATCAAAAAAATCATCCGAGTTACTTCTTCAGCTACTTACACAGCCCATTATATATAAATTAACAATTAATTATAATTTATCTTTTCAGATCTATTCTTTCTGTTTGATTTTACACGGTTATAGATTAAAAATTCTCAAGTTTAACTTTATGTAATACATAAAACGAAATAATATGAAATATACTAAATAGCAGGATTTATAATATAAAAATTTAAACAGTATATATACATATATTCTTAGTTTGAACATATTGAAGTAAGCTTTGTCAGGGATTTGTTGATTGGTTGATACTATTATAGCATCACAGTCAAAAACATTAGTCTTATACGGTTGCGTTCCGTTTCATGCATGATGCGCATGATGCATTACTTATCCTTGTTCACCGAATGTTAAACAAGGATAAGTAATGTATCGTGCGCATCATGCATGAAACGGAACACAGCTTATGTATGTACTTTTCGAATCGAGAGAAAATCAAGAGATGAGAATTGTGCAAATTAAAAACTTGTACATTGCTCATCATTTTATTTCGCTCACAAAGCTCCTTAAAACAAGCGCGTTTTTCAATTTTGGCTTCCTCATAGAAGAAGAGGAAGTTAGGGCATGTACAGACATTTCTCAAAAAATTCAAAATTTTATAAAAAATGAACCTTTTACTCATCAAATTCAATGTCAACCATCCTTTAATGATACTCTATTTATGTAAAAAAATTTATCCTGATATCTAAAAATTTGCAAAAGTTAGAGCGTGTACAAACATTTCCCAAAAAATTCAAAATTTTATAAAAAATGAACTCTTTCACTGATCCTCACCAAATTCAATACGAGCTATTCTTTGATGATACTCTATTTATTTTAAAAAATTTAGCCCGACATTTCAAAAATTGCGAAAGTTAGAGAAATTGTACAATATGTACATTCCGTACATACATACATACATACATACAGACATTTTTTAAGAATATGATTTTTCGAGATTTTGGAGCATTCTAAACATATTGACATCGAAAATCGGAAAAAAATTTTGTCACGAAAACAAAGCTTCCTCTATGAGGAAGCAAAAATTAAGAATTTACAACCATTTCCAATTTCACTGTTTAATAATTTATAAATAAAAACAAAACGTGGAAGCTGGCATACCACTGTATTGCTTTCATTGCTAAATATCTAATGAGAAATGTTTTTAATTTTAGATAATATAAATGTAAAAAAAGACAAAGAGCCATCCAAGAATATACATGTTTTTTTTCTAATTCTGGCCTCGATTTTTTATAGGATAGTATAGCGAAGGTTAATTTAGTATATTATAGAACTCAATGTGTAAGTACTAAAAGCGTTTGATTGATAAATTGGGGCAAAGATTTCTTTATTCTGATTGGTCAGTTGAACACTTTCATCATTTACAACGCATCAAGGCGAAAGCAACCTAAGAGAAAGACAATATGTAAAATATTCTATGTATATGGCTATAAAACTAAATTTAAATAAGTTTTGAAAAAATGAATATAACGTGCAATAAGTTTAAAAGTGGTAACATTTGCAAGATATTAAGAATTATAATTTTATTTCTTATTTAATGAGAAGAATGTTTAATTAATTTAACGTGGAACAAGTTTAAAACGTAATATCTTTTACAGGATATTTCATATACATATATTATTATATAAAATATATAAAGAATTATAATTTTATTTCTTATATTTAATGAGACGAATATTCAAAGTGATAGTGAGGTTTAGGTCGCTATTCTGTACACGGCTACCAATAGCTATAAATTCTATAAATATCATTGCGCATTATTTGATATGTCAAAATACGTGTACAACGATAATTAGTTTAAAATATGTGGCGCATTTTATTTTTCCTCTACGCATAGAATACAGTTAAGTTATTTTTGTCACATTTTTGCGAAGCATTTTTAACCGATCCACTTTTCCTATACATCTATATGGCAGCAAAAGCGTTTGAAATATTCAGTATAGCGACAACTGGAATGCACTTATATAATCATATCAGGAATATATTATGAAAACAACGCAAGAAAATTGAGTTTATAGGAGAACAATTATTTTCAGAATTATAGAGAGATATATTTATCATAAAAATATATATAAATGTTTATATTATATCTGTTAATAATTCAGCTAATAACTCTTTATGTGTTAAGGCAATTTATAATGTAAATATATACAGAGTGTCCGCAAAAATCAAGACCAAATTTATACAATGCATTTAATGAGATCGAGTAGGTAAAAAAAATTCAGTAAACCTATATCGAAAAATGCATAAAAAATGCTTTATTATAGAATTATAAGCTTACAAAGATAAGCGAGCTAATCGTTCTTACAATTTTATTACAGTCTTAAACTATATTAGACGGAATTGCTGATTCGAAAACAGGTAACTTTTTTTGAGTAACTCTTTTTGGTAACTCTTTTTGAGTTATGTATAATATGTCAGCGATTCTGTTTAACAAGTTTAAGAACAATTTTACTTGCTTATTTTTGAACGCTTATAACTCTCTTTAAAGTAACTCTTTCTTTTTGAGTTATGTATAATATGTCAGCGATTCTGTTTAACAAGTTTAAGAACAATTTTACTTGCTTATTTTTGAACGCTTTGAACGCT